CGCCGTCGCCTGAGCGGGGGGCGGCGGGACTCTCTCGCTAACGGCGCTGGACTGCATGCCCGAGCCCAACCGGCAGAGCACTTGTGATAGCAGCAGTAAGGTGAAGCAAGGCAAACAGAAGAGGAAGGAAAATGCAAGCATAGAGACTCAAAGAAAGAAGGAGGGAATCGTTGACTCGCACATGCGGGAGTCATGTGGCCACTGACAAAAAGAAAAAAGAAAAACGAGCACAGGCATAGATCCCCAATGAAAGGATATTCGGCACACACACGCACAGTCACATGCGCATGCCAAATCACAGGAATTAAAGCTGTGGCCTACCTCTTTGTCTTCTTTTCCTCGTCCTCTACGAATTGCTGCTCCCGTTCTAGCAGCAGTTTGATGTCCCGCACCTTGTCGCGAATGTCCCGCCAAGAGTCACACCTTGCCTTCTCATCCGCCCACGCCTGAAGCTCCTCCACGCAGCCCTCATACTCCTCTTTGCGTCGCATCGCCTCAGCGAGGACGTCGGAGGAGGAGGATAAGTACGTAAGGTGGGAAAGTGCCGCTGCCCGGTAGCAGTTGTACGCCTCCCGCATCACTCGCATGCGATCGGCGAAACTAAGCAGACGCCTACAGAGTTCTTCATGTTCTGGTAGCATTTTTTGAAGATCCTCACATTCGTTTGTCAAATCTAGGCAGCGACGATACAGCGGAGAGGCGGTGTCGCGCGTTGCCGCCAGTGTGTTCAGCAGTTCATCAAGGAACGGGCCCACCTGCAGACAGACGCTGCTATTCTCTTCCACATGTTCCTCCAGCAAGGTCTGCGCGTGGACCTCGAAGAGTGTGCTACGTATGCGCTCGAGGACCTTTACCTGCAAGTGCACCCACGCCTCATTCGCCTCGAGCAGAGCCTCCTGCACATGGTCGTGGTCAAGGAACGGCTCTGCAGTGTCGAGCAGGACTCCGTAGTTCCTCGCCATCACCTTGTAGTGCTCTAACAGCGATGCACAGAACTCCTGCACGTGGTCGGGATCACTCAGAGCGTCGAGGTTCGCCTGCTGTTGGCGGCACCACATCACCAGGCGCTGCTGCTGTGTCTCCACCTGTTTCACGCCCCTCTCGCGCTCCTCCTCCGCCCGGCGCCCTTCGGCAATGTTGCTTACTGCTCGCTTCGCCAGTGGTACTACCTCTTTAAGGAGATCGTGTGCGGCAATCATTGAGGCCTCGCTCGCCGACACACCCATGAGCTCCGCGCTGCTGCTCAGCACCTTCCACGCCGCCTGCAGCTGCTTCTCACGCGCGACCCACGCCTCCCGGTTCGTGACACCGCACCATGAAGCGAGCGACGTTGCCGCCACCGCCTGCAGCGTGGATTGCGCCAGCAAACCCTGAAGGGCCTCGCGCATCACCGACAGCTGCGCTGTGAAGTCTGCCAGCTGCGTCGAAAATGTCTGATACGACTCCACCAAGTCGTCGTCGTGGAGTGCGGGCAGAGTGCGGTCTCCGGCGTCACGGCCTTCTGCAGCTCTCGTGAGCAGCAGCAACTCCGCCTCGAGCGCCGCAACCTCCTCCTCGAGGTCCTCCGCCTCGCGCTCTTCATCTGTCATGAAGAACTCCACCTCTCCCTTCGTTTTTTCGGTGTGCGATAGGAAGCAGTCGTGCAACGTGCGGAGGGCGTCAAGCTTCGCCTCATCACTCCCTGAATCACCGCCCATCTTCCGAACCCGCTCATACTGGGTGCGCAGCTGCGCGCTGGACTCTTCGAGCTTCTCAAGGAGGGACTCCATCCCGCCCCTCAGCACACACACACACACACACACACACTGATGCGCAGCCTTAAACCTTTAACAAACACAACAGAGACACAGTAGTCACCAAAGAAAGAAAGAAGCATAGAAGTGTTGTCCTATCTCTCAGCAGCGAATAAACAGACAGGGCACAGGCATGTACATGGATACACATGTACATGCCCCGCATCCCACTCAAGGTATTGCTTTAAAACTGAAGAAGGCAGACCCTCGACTGAAAGATCCACCCTCATAAAATAAAAAAAGAAACCACTACAAAATCACGCACTCGGTCAGGACTACGCAGAAGTAGAAAAAGGCGACACGTACTCTACTTCAGCTCGCGAAGGCGGCGGACGGTTGAGCGGACGGTGCTGTTGTTGGGTGTGCTCAGCGTGTATGCACCACCCGCCACCGTCTTACTGCAGCCGTCGCAGCGCCAGATGCCCACAGCCTTGCGGCGGAATGCGAACTTGCCGCAGAAGGAGCAGAAGTGCCTAGCGTGCTGCGAGACCTCGAGCTTCTTGGCGCGCTTGCGGGGGTTGGCACCATAGCGGGCACCGTAGCGCCCCATCACGCCCATCTTGACTGTGCGCTTGGCCATATTTGTAGACCCTCTGAGCCGGCTTCTGGAGTCAATAAGGAAAAGGCGGAAGAGAAGAGAGAAGAGATAATGTCGCCCCTGATTCCTTTTCTAGGGAGCAAGAGAAATGCAGCGTCAGTGCCGTACTCAGGAACCAGAGCGTGGAGGGCGCACAAAGCAGCCGCATGGCTGTGCACAGAATAGGTAACGCCAAGCACTCCCTTTTCTTTTCCTGCCCAGCGCAACAATCACCGGAACAACAACAACCACAACAATAACAACAACAACAATAACAATAACAATAACAGAGGCAGCAGCAGAAGCAGACACGCACGCAAAGAAAGAAGCTTGCAATTGTGTGGGTGTGTAGAAATGTGTGTCTTCACTTCTCTGTCTGTGCATGTGGAGAGGAGAGCGGGCCAGCACCAACATCGCACCCACTCACTGTGCAATAAAAGAAACAAATGTACAAGTAAGAAAAATCATGCTTTTTTTCTTGCTACCGAGAGAAGAACTTCAAAAAGAAAAAACGTCTGCAGAAACCGCCACGATGAAGAAGGGGGCGCCTCACAAGAAGGCTCCACTGTCGATTGTATCCCCTCGTGCTTCGTTCCTCTTTGGACTTCACTCGAAAAGCTTTGTGTTGAAATAGGCGACGTTTTTTTTTCCTTGTCTTCTTTTCAGTGTTACTCCGATTATTTTTTTGGTTTACTTCTGCGATCCTCTCGAGCCTACTTCGCCGAGAGAACGTAATAAAGAGCATACGCGATGACTACACATATGAGCACATTTCGCACCATTATCTGCGGCGAGGGGAGTTCCTGCTGCTGCTGCTGCTGCTGCTGGTGTTGGTGCTGCTCGGTGGCGGAGCGTCCGCCTTCCCGTTGTGGCTGCCCCGAGGTCATGCCCCACGGCGCCCGCGCTTGCGACAGCCACTCACGCCACGGAATGAAGTGATACGCCGCCCACAGCACAATCAGCAGAGCAGTCGTTGTCATGTCGCCACCGAAAAACATAAATGAGCCCCCGAGTCCCAGCGAAAACGGGTGGTTGGCGTAGCGCCCCATGCCGCGCCGCACCGGCGGAGCACGATCGGCAGCTGGTCGCGGGTGTTGCTGTTGCTGCTGTTGATGTCGCTCTTGCGCCGAGGTGCTGGTGGTGGACGAAGAGTTCGATGCGGCTGCATTTGCCGCGTGTGTGCGCGCGCCCTTGCCGTAGAGCGGGATGATGTCACCGCTGATACGCTCGTCGACGCGGCCGCGGCAGACCGGGCACTCCAACACCGCTTCGGGGCGCTCCAACCAACGCTTCAAGCATGCCCAGCAGAATAGATGGCCGCAGCGTGTCACGACAGGTTCACTTGCCATCTCGTAACAGATGGCACAGGAGAAGTCGGCCTGCGACATGGCGTGCCAAGGTTCACGATGACACGGTCTTTCTGCTACTTCCTAACAACCGGCAGTGACGATCTATCACAAAGAACCAACTTAAGAGTGGCAGACACAAGGAACCCTAAGAAAACATGCGAGATATAGCCACATTGTTGAACGAATTGTGTAGAAAACAAGTTTCTCTCCCGTACACGTGCATGCATATCTGCTTGGCACTCAAGATACCCACGTATCGCAAGCGTTACCACCACAATATTGGACGTATGATGTCGCCAGAGTTAGATGCCCATCAATCGTACAAACAAGTACACGCAGTCATTTCTTTTTCCTCTGTGTTGTCCTTCTGTTCACTTCTTGCTGCTGGTAAAAGGAGCGAATATGTGAATGTCATCATCATCATCATCTAGCCTCCCCCAAACATAATTAAAATCATCAAACGCAGTAGCAACGAACTTCAAAAGCTTGGGGCCGGGCGCCCAGTGGAATACGGCTCGGTATTCTCATGCGGACTCCCCATGCCTCTCAAAGCGTCGCCTAGAATCATAGATGGCACCCGCGACGGGCGGAACACAAACTCCCCGCTTCCGCTTACTGGCACTGAGGCATTGGTGTTGCTGAGGGGGGCGCTCCTCCCTTCATGCGCCTCCTCCGTGTTGTTGTTGCTATTGTCGTCTGTGATGCTGTTGTCGCGGATGACCATCTCTAGCTGCACACTTCGAGCGTGTGACTGTAGCACCATCTTTTGCCGTTCCCAGTCGTCGTTCACGAGATGGCGCTGCATCAGCCGCCCAATGTCGCGCCGCCCGATGTCGCGCTGCTTCACGGACTGGCGGAAGAGAACCGCCATCACAAAGCGGAACAGCGCAAGGAGGAAGGCGGCAATCAAGAAGGCCTCCGCTACAATCGCAACGTTTGCCAGGCGTCCCCGACTAAATGTCGTCTCCGCCCCGCCAAAGACGCTGTTGCTCGCAACGTCTCGCGCGTGGTACACACACGGGGAGAAAAACATGCCGATTGCAGCACTAAGCAGCATTGTTGGAATGAGAAGCTGTACCAGAATTGCCAAAATAAGAAGACTGGTCGTCTTACTCAGCGGTACTAGGCAGAATGCACTAAACAACAGCTCCATCAGGCTCACGATGAAGCTGCAGAGGAGCAGCCCCGAGACTGCGTGAAAATCCTCTACAAAGCGCGCACATGTCACGGTAATGAGATCCGCGTTCTCCCCGGCGACGCACACTTTCGTGCCATTCGCCGCGTATAACGTCGCGTGAGAGGAGACGTACACCACGCCTGCAACGCCAGCCGTCTGCTCTTGCGCGTGGACGCTGCCAGCACCGGTCTCGCTGCTGTGGTTTCCAACCACGACACCCTGAAGGACGCACGATACCAAAAGAAAGAGAAGGGCACCCTGCAGCACGATATCACGCGGAAGCACATGGCACAACGCTAGGCCCATCGTCTTGAACCGCCAGATTTAATACACAAACAGACACCTAACGATATATATATATATATA